GCGCGGCCGCCGCCGGCGGCGGACGGAAGAGTGTCATATAACGACAGCTTATTTCGCACGGCGTACCTCGGACGTCGATGACCAAGGGTGACCGGTCAGGTCAACGAAGAACGGGATGAGGAGGGGGAGGAAGGGAGGTGAAAGACCGAACCCCCCCACATCAGGGGGGGGGGGTTCATCGGACGATCGAATCGCCCGCTTCCGCCGACTCGCTGGATCGCTGGCAGTTTATTTCCGCCCCCGACGTGGAATCGAGAGTCGATGGGCTCGAGGGGCGCGTTGTCCTAACGATGTGATTTATCGTCGTCTACGGAGGCCTGACAGGTCCCCGTCATCGTCGGTGTACACAGCCAGCAGGGACGGCCACGTCGATTTCTAGCTTATCGCGCAAACCGGCGGCGATAAGCGGCTTACTGGAAGTCTGTCGAAGAGCAAACCCATCGGCGTCGTGTGCTGAAATAGCGCAAACAACGGAAGTCGCGCGGCTTAAGGACGAGACGAGTGGAGTGGAGGGAGAGGGGGTGGTGGCTGCAGCGGCTGCGTCGTTCGGCGATCAGACACGCGATCTATATAACGTATGTACAAAGTCGGACGCCTCGGAGCTCTCGGGGAATTTTCGCCATCCTCCAATATCCTCTTGTAACGTAAATCACGGACACTTCTGAAGAGAGAGAGAGAGAGAGAGAGAGAGAGAGAGAGATATTGCTCCAGTGTATGTATTCGCCGATACCATCCAGCAATGCGACACTTTTCGCATTCAGCCCAATTTACCTATAATTGAACCGGGTTAATATTCCATACCACTCGTCCGGCCGTTCGTACCACGTGGCGAATATTGCGGCCGTATGACGTTGTTAGTGAGTGCCAATTTAGCCATCGGTCGGCGAGCCAATTCGCCAACCTGTCAAACTGTCAGCGTGGCGGGCACGCGAGCGTACGCGCGAGTGTCCGACCGGAATTCGTACATACCCGAACGGAGCGGCACCCCCGACCGCGTCGGGCAGCGACGGACAATTTTTAGCTGCCTGCGTCGAGGTGACTCATTAACTGAAATAAGTTTTGAGTCGTCGAAAAATGAAACGTCAGAGTTGTCTGGAAGCAATTAATTCCTCTCTTTTAATACTTACCCCTCCGACTTCCAACGTCGCTGGCCGGAAGCTTTATAATGGCTAATGCTATAATCTAATTCGTTGACGACGAATGTCGCAGCGCGGGAAACGAAATGTCACTGCGAATGATAACAGCGAGAGCGTGCATATTAAACAACAAGATTTATTATTTGTATATACAAACGTTTACATTTGACCATTTAATTTAACCACGAAGCACGATGAAACATCCGTAGACAAAAACATTTACGCTCCCTCCAGACATTCGCGGATAGGTTGTTTTATTTTATTTTATTTTAATTTTTTTCTTACGGGAAGGCTTCCGACGAGAGAGGGGGGCAGAGGTGACGAGAAGTCTATTTTCTTTTTTCTTTTAACGGCGGAAAATTATTGTCTCTGTACACGCGCGCAATATGATCGCGCCCTGGCGTGTCCCAAGTATCACGTTTTCCCTTAGAACGAGGCTATCGCAGCTACCGCTCTTACAGCTAGGTGAAAAACAAGAATAGGAATGTCAAATGTCGACGACGTGCCACGCCGGTCGGGAGGTCGGGATTATTCTTAACGGTATTTATTGTCTATTTACAAGCGTCGTTTAATCGCGTACGACGAGGTTTGGCGAGCATCGGAGGGTACTGACCCGGATATAAAGTGCCCCCGGGTCGCAAAGTAAATGTGCCTATACCTCCGTCTATATACAACTCTCCTGTACACGCAGACTCCTCGTGTAGATATCGTGGGTGCGGTGCACCGGTAGCGTGCTGGGCCGCATCGGGCTCGACAGGCTCTTCTCGCTCTTCTCCGCGTAGCCGTTCGGATAGATCCAGGAGTCCTTGGCGTGGAGCACCGACGAGGGCGACGGATAGTCGAGGTCCTCGAGGCACCTGAAGTCCTTGGCTCGCTCGGACGGCTTGCCGGACGCGTAGCCCGGCTCGAAGATGTCCGGCCGTCTATCGACGGCCTTGCTCGGTATCACGTCCGGATCGTCGTCCGGCACGTCCGCGCTTATCTGCCCCTTCAAGTCGTCCCGGTGCGCGGTCGCCGCCTCGCCGCTGCCACTCCTCGTCCTCGTCGTCGTCGTCGTCGTCGCTGCCGGCGCCGCCGGCCGACCGTCCTCCTTGCTCTCGTACTGCACCGGTTCGGCCGCCCGCGCCTTCGCCGCCTGCGTCGGATGGCTGCGACGGTACAGGGTCAGCGTTATCCCGACGATCAGAATGCAAATAGCGGTTACGCCGCCGGCGAAGCACGCCACTAGGAGGCTGTAATCGGTCGCCTCGTCCGAGATTCCTCGACCTGCGAAGTGTAGAGAAAAAAAAAAGAAAATCGTGACTCATGTAAGAGAGTGTCCATATCAGTCGTGGACATATCAGTTGCGACACTTTTTTTTAATTTAATAGGTTTCAAAATGCACTAATATTTTGCAAATGCAACACACGATTGGTGTTATACTGTTTCCTATAGACTAAAGATAGTACATCGTGGTTCGCATTTGCAAAATGTTAGATGCCTATATAAAATATATATTATGTATATTAAATATATATTAGAAATCTATATAAAAAAAAGTGTCGCAACCGATCTGTCCACGACTGTACTTCTCTGGAAATAAACGAGCGCTTCAATCTTAGAGTGTACACACACATATCGCTGGACTGTGTATTAATAGCGTGACCTGCTTTCGAAATAATAATAATCAAATAGTAGATGAATTCTCGAGGATAGATTCCAAGCAGGATTTAAATGTAAAAGAATCGGAGTAATTCGCAAGGGACTAGATCTTTCTCCCTCTCGATAAAATGCTCGATATAGCTGCACGGGGAGAAAGAATTTTGCTGCCTTCGCAAAATCGTCGCTGCTGGCTGCTGCTGCTGCTGCTGCTGCTGCTGCTGCACATTCGACGTGAGAGTGACCAATTTTACTAACCAATTATTCGATATTGCAGCAAAATCTGTATTTCGTTGATAAAATAAAAAGGGTCTTATTGTGCGGCATGTGTGCGTGTGCGCGCGAGTAAATTTGTTTGCGGAAAACAAATTTCCCGTTAAAATAAATTTAATTTATAGTCCCGCGGAACAAAAATACTCCGTTTCGGAAACGAATGCAGTTTGCTATTAATATGCATTTAACAGTTTCACGTCCGCCACGCGCTCAACATAATTAACAAACACGGGCGTTAACATTGCGATGATACAAGGAGGCGTTTTATCGATCGTATCGGCTATTTATGCTTGTTAAAGTATATGCACGGCTTTATTGGCATTATACCCGATGATGACGATAGAGGTACTTGCGAGATGAGCGGCATGGCGCGTTATCGATCGCCGTACGAATGTCAAGTTAGTTTTGGACCATCGACAATGCGCGCACATCACAATTCGATAATTAAGCGGCAATCAGCCACATCGGATTAGTGCGTAACGATGGGAACGCGCTTCGGCGTTTTCTTTTTGGGAGATTCGAGCAAATCGATTTCCATTAAACGGCAAATTTCGTATCGGCTATTTGCGTCGCAAGAGAGAGATTTTATCCGCGTACATCGCGCGCTCGCGCGGTGCATTACAGCTCTTTAACATTACATGAGACGAAAATCTACGGGGGGGGGGAGAGGGGGAATTATCGCGTGCAAATTTCAAGGGATAAAACCGGTGATAATTCCTACCTGAGCGCCCGTTCTTATAATGTCTCGAAGGAAATGAAACGAATAACTTGCGCGGAATGTGGAAAAATATCCTGAATTAATAATCACGCTTCCATTACACCGTGATAATTATATTTTACGAACCGTAATAATTATTTTCAACGTATAGAATCACGGACGTGTTGGAACGTCAACTTGGAATGTCGCGACATCTAATTCCTCTATGGTTGCGGCGTGTAACACACACGTCGCAGAACTATAACGGCTGGCCGTTGCCGCGCAAAACGTACGATTTCCTAACGTATATATACCCGTATATTCTCGAGCGGCAAAGAACATTCGTCCTCATCAGGATGGACGTCCGAACTGATGGCGACATCAACAGCAGCGTCCGGCGGCGTCGTTCGTCCCAACGTGTCCGGTAAACGAGATTCGCTTTTTCCGTGTACTTATTGGATCACGGAGGAAACGCAGGCAGCTTTCGGAAGCAAAGATTAAGAGGAAGGCGGAGGATCGGGTCCGGGCGCGCGGACGGAGATGGCCAGGCTCTTTAGAATTCAGAAAACGCCTCGGTTCGTTAGCCAACGAACGGTCCACGTATACGCGCGCGCGCGCGCGCACGTGTGTATGTGTATGTGTGTATTCGTGTGTAGGTATACACGTGTGTATTAGGTATACATCCATACGCGCGCTCGCGCGAACGTACGCGATCGAGGACGGAAGGCGGACACGCGAGCGCGATTGTCTGAGTCCGTCATCCCAGGGATCTCGAAAGCTCCCTACCCACCCCCGCGCGCGTTTCTCCATTGCTACACCGTTAAGAGGCAGTATTTGCCACCCCAGCGTGGGGAATAGGTGGAAGCTACTTGGACGGGGGCCTGGCGCAATGTCTGGGAAACGTTTGAGGGGCTTCGAGCGCTTCCCGATATACGGTGACAGCGTTGCTGATGGTGGTGATACGCAACCAGGATTCCGGATGAGCTTCGCCGCGGTCGTGCGATGTGCGCGTGCACCCGCCGTGCGTGCGTGCGTGCGTGCGTGTGTACACGGCCGGTATATACACACACTCACACACACATACATATATAAATATATATATATATATATATATATATAATATGTATATATACGGGTTGCCACACGTTTGCGTTACCGCACGGCGGATTCGTGCGCGAGCCGGCATGAATAACCCATGAGGATGGAAATTAAAGACGATAAATGCAGCTGAAATGAGGCTGGTGGCGAGGAAAGGGACTTGGGCTTTATGGGATTTTAATTCAAGGTCCGCGCGGGAGGGGGGAAAGGAGGTGACGTCGGAGAGGGGAAGGGGCAGGGGAGAGGCGTCGCGGCGCGGCCGCATTTTCTCAAAAGCGCGGCACCGAAACTCGTATAATTACATCGGGAAGTTTTGAACGGAAGTCGTTGATTAGTAACGTCGACGCGCACGACTTGGCGCCGCGCTCTCCCGTCGATACAGATTAATATTTGATCAATCCGGCATGTCTCGTGCTTGATTACAGAAATGTCACGACAAGCCGCCTCCCCCACCCCCACTCCCCCGATTCAGCGACTACTCCGAATCCGAAATAGATTTAATCGATGTCAGAATTTGAAAGTCTCTGTCGCCAAGATCGATAAGCGAAACTAATGAAACGATTTGTTAAATATTCTAATGCCGTCATGAGAGTTAAATGCACCGCTCCGTAATAATATTCGTGCGACAGTGATAAAAAGAAGGGCAATACGACTGCGCAGGATGATAAATTTGTGAAGCCTGTAATATAAGCCAGCAAGGAAAAACACGTCAAAGTGTAAAGTAGAACTATAAATAGGACTGTAAATAGGACAGTAAATGGAGCTGTGTAAGGTAGAATTCGAAATAGAACTATAAAAATTTAAAGGGAAGATTGTGTGGAGATGGAATAGATGCCAGAGGAGACACGTTAAAGAGCAAGCACCTTGGCCCGGAATCGAAAGTATTTTAAGAGGTTGATCTAAATACATACAATTTCGTTGGAAAGGCAAATAGGAGCGTTTACGATGCGCCGCGCCGTGTATATACTTAACGCCGTGCAATTCGGTCCAATTAAGGGACCCCAGCTGAACGCTTCGAAATTCTTTCCACGACGGTCGTTAGCGCTTTATTAACTCGCCTCGTTATTATTTTGCCCTCCAACGTTAAGATTATACGTAATGAAGGTAGGTGGGTCTAATCACGACGGGCAAACACACTCTCTATCGACGTCATACAATCTACATACATTAAGACCGATAATAATAACTGGAAATTACACATGGGAAAGATACGCGGCGGAGGTATTCCCAAGAATAAACCCTCCCGAGATATTTCGTAATCTCGCGATGCGCGGCTTCATCGGGGACTGTGAATTTTGTCGGTTCGTATATATATTCGTATCATCGCGAGCGGCGATACGTTTAATCAGCTCGAATACGTTCTTCAATAATTGCCGAAACACGCCCGCGCCGCCGGTCTAGCTTTATATAAGTAAGGCCGCCCAGACGAGATCGCGGATACGCGATCGCTACTCCGGAATAATAACATCGTTAGAATTTCAAGCTGACCTTTAAAAAAAAAAAACAGAAAGAGGTGAAACTCACCAGTGGTGTACATCGCCACGCCTTTCAGTGTGACCGGTTCCAAAACAACGGGATCGCTCCGACCCTTCGCGTTGACGGCATAAAGATGAAGCCTGTAATTCCGGCCGGGCTCTAAGCCGGGAACTTCGAAAACTGGACCGGATGAGCCGGATCTATCGGTGTGGTTCAGGTAGATGGTATTGACATGATAAACGTTCTCCTCACTGTAGACCTCCAGCTCGTAATTAGTCAAGGGCAAACCACCGTCGAATCCCTCGGAGCACCTGACGATCAGCCAGTCCGCGTCCCTCGAGTCGGTGGCTTTAAAGTCTTCGTGACCTGTTTCACACGGACGCACACACATCGTGGCGGTTAAGCTCCCTCCCGGAGGAAGAAAAACACTCGGACTCGCTAGACCTAATTGCTTCCCGGCGTGAGCGCCGTCGTCGCGGCGAAGCACACTCGATAGCGTCGATTAGGGAGGGGTCAGACCGAATTAATTGGATAATAGCCTTAGCTAGACTTGCATAATAAACATACCGGGAGGCTGTAATTAGCAGTGCTCATCGAGTCGAGAATTACTATATTCTAAATAACTGTAAATCATCAGTCACGAGTGCATAAATCTTCGACGAATGTGAAAGGCGTCTTTTAAAATGAGTTACGTTCGAACGGTGCAAATGTTTGCTGAAAACCGAATGTTAGTTAAAATCGCACCGGGTGAAATATCTTTCAGCCCTCCGTTCTTCTTTTACTCGCAAAAATTAAAAAAAAACACTAAAATTTCTCTGAAAATTTAATTCATGATTTTGATTCACCTCGCGTGAATTATTTAATCGAATTATGGAAGAGAAGACGATCCTAATTCGCAGGTATCGGTGATCGATGAAAACTAATTTCACGGTTATCGCGTCTCTTTCGAGGGGAAACAAGGAAACAAGCTGTTGAACGCAACAAGGGCATCGACCGTTAAGGTGTCAGGCACGATGATGGCCGGGTGTAATGGCGTAGTTAGCAGATCGTTGCGAGGGGTGCCCGGGACCCTCCCTGCAGGCTCTCGGCTTACCCATTCGGTACGCGTAGGGTCCGGTCGACTGGAGGGCCGTGCAGTTCTGCAAGGGGTATGGCTTCCCGGCGACGATGATCTGAAAGAGACAGGGCGTCCTCTGCACCCCTATCCGATTTCTCGCCCAGCAGGCGACCGTGCCGTAGTCCATGTCGTTCTCCGGCGTGTAATTCAGTCTGGAGCCGTGCCAGTGGGTCGTGATCAGGCTGAGCGGTTTGACCTGCGCGTACCTCGTGGCCGGCACGCTCATCAACTCCCCGGAGTTGTTGAACGTCCAGTGGAAGGTCGTGGGCGGCGGTTTCGACTGTACGCCGCAGACCAGCGAGATCGTTTCGTGCTTGAGGGCGCCGACCACTTGGGTGGAAGAGCCGTCCTTGCAGATCGGTGCGTCTGAAAATATGAGGGCGCCGGCTGGTAGGTTCAATTTACCGCGGCGCACGCTCTCGCGCGCGCGCTCTCTCTCTCTCTCTCTTTCGGTGGACGTCACAGATTAGAAAAAATTAAGGGCCGGCCGTCGGCGGTTTTCCATTTCCATTCCTTACGGCGAACGCCGATAATTGACGCTTCTATGTAAACGCGATTTACTCGCCCTACTCAATATCGGCAATGTTGCTCCATAGGAAATTGAATGTATTAATAAAATTAGAATAACGACGACGTCGTCGTCACATCGGAAAATGGGCTGGCGAGATGATGAATTAAAAACCCTTCTGTCTCTGCCGAGCTCCCCGAGTGTCAGTCACGCGGATCGATTCGAATGTAAAAGAATGAGATGTACTCACACATCACTACGAGGGTTACCGGTCGACTCGCGGATTTCCCTTCGACGTTGACTGCCATGCAGGAATATTCCCCGGCGGAGCTTTTCGTCACGCTCTGCAATACCAGGGAGTGCCCACCGGGAAGAATAATCCCCGCGGTGGCGTTCTGATGCAATTCCTTGCCGTCTTTGAACCAAAGTAGCTTGTAAGACCTCGGATTGGCCCGTACGTCGCACTCAAAGTAGACGTCGTCGCCCTCGTTTATATCGTTCGCCTTCAAACTGGAACCCAACTTAATGCTCACCACCGGTGCGTCTGAAAGCATCGGTAGCGGGAAGTATCTCTCATTCATTTTCTTGGAATTTCGTAACGCGTTATCGCAATTAGAAAATTGAGAGGGAGAAGAAAAGTGATTGACGCGTGTCAAGGTTCAAAATAATAATTTCAAGTTGGACTTCGGGGCGTTAACGAAAGTTCTGTGTACGAGTTTAAAGTAACTCGAGAGAGAGGTCACGAGGGAGAAACTTACAATATATCAATAAATGCCATTTGTCCTCCAAGGCACTGTTAGGCACCACGGGATTTTCCGCTCTGCACGTCAGAAATTTTCCATCGTCCTCGATGGTCGGCACGTAGCTCAGCGCACTTCTCGTGATGTTCGGATTGTCTAGGAACTACGAAGAACTCAGCATCCATGCCATCGCGATGTGGGATTCGAGGTCCCGGTACGTATAACGGAAAATGATATAATCGTCCGCTCGCGGTAGATATACTCACATTTCTAGCCATATGTTTGACTTGATGAGTCCCTTTCCACCAGGTGATCACCGCCTGCGGTCTGGAACCCGAGGTGACACACTCGATCTCGTAAGTTCTTAACGCCGATAGGTGAAATCGCTTATTCGTAATGTTGACCACGAGCGGCTTCACTACGATAAAGAATTATGCGATAATGAGTTTGGTATAAAATAACCATCGTGATATTTTAATTTTCCACTCCGCTACATTGTACTTTATCAATTTAATAATCTTATAATAATAAACCTCGGGCAAAATTAGTACAACAAGAAATAAATTAATTAAAAACATAATTACATAAAGGACAACGCACAAAATTTATGGAAAAGTACTTTCGGTCAAAATGGATGATTTTTTGATATTTTGTAGTTCTCGTCATTCTGAACAAATATCTCAATGGGCACAACTCGATCCTGTCGCTAATTTCAGGGATATAGGCAGTCAAAGTATCTTCTGCCGAAAAAGCGATATGCACTTATACATTCACGTCATTATCGACTCCTTAGGACTTTGTTTCTAATATATGTATATGAGTTAAATAGTTGTAATGATAGTAATTACAATAAATATAATAATTATTATAATATATATAATAATAATAATTATTATTATTATTAATCATACTGTGTAATAACTCGTAATAATAATAATAATAATTATTATTATTATTATTACGATCATAATTATAATTATGCTTGTCTAAAGTCACACTATATCAATCTGAAGGCTCACAGTATGATTCCGAAAAGTAAAATGTTGGAACCATATATATTTTCCTGCTCTCAGCCTTACCCAGGATCAACGACGTGCACAGATTCACGTCGTTGATCTTGGATAATGCTGAGAGCAAAAAATACATATGGTAACCATGTGTATTCACAGTAATCCTAATGCTTCATCTTCTATCATTTTCGATACATATAATACATCATCTTAATTAATCGACTGAATTCTTATGAGAGATTGACAAAAGCGATTAAACTGAAAAGCATTCAGTTATTATCGAGTAAAGTTTACTCTCTCATAAGAATTCAGATTAATTAAAATAATATATTGTATGTACCAAAAATGATACAAGATGAAATATTAGGTATTACACGTGGTTACCATATGTATTTTTTTTGTTCTCAATGTTATCCAAGATCAACGACGTCGACCTGCCACGTTCACGACGATGATCCTGGGTAACACTGAGAGCAGGAAAATAAACGAAAACATCCTGTATATAGTTTCAACATTTTACCTTTCGGTATCATACTGTGAGCCTTCATGGAAAGAACAATTTTGCTGAATCCAAATCTGAAAATAATTTGTGTTCAATAATCAAAATAATTTTGTGCGGAAGTCAAATGATTGGAAGAGCACA